TTTCCCCATCCTGCTGCCCTCCCGGTAAGGAACAAGTATAGGATTCAATCTCTCTCTCATGGCTTGTTCCCAGGAAATATGCCCTCCTTCAGTGTAGTACAAACTCTACCTTGGTTGAGGTAGGTCAGGGTTTCTTCATGCAGTTTCACAGCAGGTGACGTGGCTGTGCAGAGGACGTACTGAAAGGGAGGCAGTTTGGCATCATTCTCAGGAGACAGCTGCGGTTCTTCCTGCTTGAAGATCGGCAGTGCAAGGACATCTCTGCAACATACAATTCACTCACGTTTAGTTACAAAGACGTCACGGAATATTCTCACCTCAATCTGCATTTGATTCTCATGCTCTGAGATAATGGAGATGGTATCTGGACAAATACAGAGTTATGACACCTAAAAAAGAAAGAATTTGGCCTGTATAATGTAACAAGGCAACTTCTGCCTCTAGGATGTCAGCACTAGACACAAAAGAACACAGCATTAGCAAAATAGAATATGTTTTTAAAACATAAATCAGATTTACTTTTCAGCTAAGCAGTCTTTCTGATGAGGAAAAAAATTATCAAAAATAGATTCTTCATCCTTGCAGAAATACATTTGTTTAAGAGTTCTTGGGTTCTCAGACGAAAGCCTTTCAGGAAAAAAAAAAGGCAAGAAAGGGCACTTTATTTTGACAGCTGAATATCAGATTAGTAAAACATCTACAAGTAGCAGCCAAGTCTGAGGAGCAGACACAGCTCTGGTGTAAAAAGGAGACATTCAGGTAAATGATGGCATGAACTGCTGGATTGACTGACTCACAACATCTCCTTTCACTCTAATAAACCTGGTCCCAAGGAATCGCATAGCTCTTAAGAGAGCATGGGGCTACCTTCATAAATGCACACACAGGTGCTCAGGAGCAGCTTCACTAGGACCTGTGCACAGTCCCAGTTCTGGCTCCTTTACAAGATGTTCATGCTGGCCTGCCTGCTGATTTACAGTCAAACTGATCCCAACCCACACTAATCCCCAAGCAGAACAGGTATTAACAAGGCTGAAAGCACAACCGAATGATTAGTACAAAACGAGATGTCAGGAATAAGCATCCTTATCTTCGCGTGTCTGATACTGAAGAACCACATTAGCCTTTCCCATGTCACTAACATTTCTGATCGTTATGTCCACCTACTTAAGACACTAACATCCTTCCAAATTAGGAGTATTATGTTGAACACAGAGACAGTTCAGAATAAGAAGTTTTGGGGTTTTTTTTCTCCTCCATTTCCTCCAGATGTGTGAAGACTTGAGATCCCCATTGCAGAGGCTGCAGTTCTGCTCCTTTCAGTAATTGCATACAGAAAAAACTTTAAGAAAAACCATTCAGGAACATGCCAGCGTGTACAGGCATGCTCCCTATGGAAAGAGCATTAAGAATTTTTCCCATTCCTGTTCAGTTAATGATCTACCCTGCGTTCATTCATAGCACCCACAACCTTGAAGGCTACCCAGGTCATCAGTGAAATGGTGCAGCAGTTTATAGCAAACTGCTGAAGTACCTGGTTTAAACACAGGTACTCCTATTTATGGCAAAATAAAGCCAGAGAGCAAACTGTGCCATTTCAGATATAGACGGGAGAAAAGAAACACCCATCTCTCTTTCCATTCTCCCTTCCAACCCCACCCGCTCCATATTATCACCAACTCAAAGGCATCCAGCCCCATTTGCTTACTGGCATTACTGACGTAATCACAGCTCTTGCCTAACTGCAGCCATAGAGAGGATTTTTTTTTCTCCTTAGTGATGATGATTTATTACAGTAATGAAGTGACAGAAATGCCTGCAGTAGATTTCTGAAATAGATAGCATTGCTCCACACACACGCAGGATCTGATACTGCTCCACAGAGTCATCTCACTCACCCCGGATGCCAACATTTGCTCTTAAGGCGCTCGTCTGCACAACGCTATTGGAATGCATGTTGCTTTACAGATGAGAACAGATCAAAAACTCTGAAGCCTGAAAGCTTCTGCAGTTCTGCAAAAAAACAGCACACAAAATCTGGCCCAGGTTTAACAGTTAAGGGTGAGGAATTTGTACACCTATTCAGCCGAAACAGTTGAGAAATTTAGGCAAGGGGAGGTTGAAATTCAAATATCGTATTTCACATCAGGTTCTTAACACCCCTACACTTGCTGGAACAGCTGTCTGATCGCTGAAGACTGCAAGCATGGAGGAATCCACGATTTGGTTTCTGGAAAGCTTCACCATATTAAAGCACTGATGAAGCCACACAAGTTAATCACTTTTTTATTTCTATAGCATTTGAACTAATGGCCAGTGGTATCTGGCTTTGGATGAAGCTCTTCTAAAATATTTCACCTTATTAAAAGTGTTTGGAACTTAGAAGGTTGTGAACAACAGATCAGGGCTTAAAAGAATTTCTAAGCTATAGACATCACAGTATTTGTTCAGCCCTCTTCACTCAGGAGTTGCAAATCAAGTTTCGGAAAAAGCAGACTTTTACAACAGTTCCCATCCTTAAAAAAAAAAAAAGGTGGAAACCCTTAAAACCCTCCCAAGTTTCACCTTTATGCTAAAGCTTTACAGTTCTGGTCTTAACCAAGGTTTAGTCTATTTACCTGGGAAGGGAGAAAGTTATTTGAGACAGTTCAGCTATCTGGCAGAACAGAGAATGCAATGCATACAGGGTTTCCATAAAAATGAATGAAGATTTAAGAGGATTTTTCTGTAGTATTGTCTTGCTATAACTACAAATACCACTGAGGTATGGCAGAATTTCCACAGATGTCCCAGATACGCACGAAGCCTTTGATCTCTGCAAAGTATAATTGATACAGACTTTTCCTACAGCTACTTCAAGGATTGTACTATTTCAGCTTCCTCCACAAAGTCGCTACAAGTGTGTATGGAGAGCCTTCAGAAAGGCACCGCTCAGCAGAAGAATGCCCCTCTAGAATCTTGACACATTCCCATGGTGAGTGAATTGGCCAGAATTAGAGGTCCCTACAAAAAAACAAGGATTTTATTCAACTGACCTCCCCTGAAACACCTGAGGCCATTGCTGCCATAAAACTGGTTTTAGGGCTTTTAATCCCAGATCAAAACCACCACGGTCACAGTGGCAGATACTCCTTAAAGCTGAAGTTTGTCCCTAAAACACTGACAGGTTACCTTCATACTAGCAGCCTTTCTGCCAGATCAGGTATCCTTTATTCCCCCAGCTAGCATTCAAGTCAGGAGAAATAATCTAATATGTTTTTTGTCCAATTCCAAGGAATTTGAATTGTGGGCTCGAGCCTGATCCACACTTGATGATCTTGTAGCACTCTGGTGCTACAAATCCATGGTGTTAATGAAGCAACCTGAGCACTGTAAATGCTCTCTAACACAGAGACCATACGCACAAGTACCAATGCTGAGGCTCATCTGCTACTACCAATCTCACTGTCCTCAACTAATCAGGCTCGCAAGCACAAAGCAAGAGAACACTACTTTTAACAACGTGTATGTGGCAAAATAGACTTACTGGGGTAGAGGAAGGAAGTGAAGCACCTTGTATGAAGAAACAGGGAAGCTGCCAGAAAGCAAGAATCTCACAGTATTGTACCATTTGATAATGGGAAATTATTGTTCAGTCAAAAAAATTCCTTTGCAAATACACCGATAGGGAGCAGGAATAGTTAAGATTGCGTGTCTCCTTGAAAGGGAAGTATTATCTGTGTTTGAAGTGCTTCGCCGGACAAACTCGATGTTCTCTCAACAGTAGTTATTTGGGGGTACATTTTGAAAGCAAGGCTCTTGGGCCACAGCCAGGTTCTCCACTGTTGCAACTCAACAAAATCGCATTTCAGCAGAGCAGCAGCAATTGACACCAGCTCAGAGCGCAGCTTTACATATTCAGAAAAAAAAAAAAAATCAGAAGCACCCAGCAGAAGGGAAACTCCCAAAGCCGTCTGTTTCGCTGTCTTTTGGAGGGAGGAAATACGGGTTTGTGCTACACATGTTACAGACTATTGTTTAGCGGCCCTTGTGCTTAAATTAGGCACATTTAATTAAACGCGACTGTGTGGAGGCAGGAAAAAGCTGGTTTAGACAAGCTCAGAAAGTGAAATTCTGAGCTTTTTACCCATCGTCCCAAAAAGAAGAGAAAGAAATCCCGTCCCGAGAAAACTGGGTGCCCCCTCAGCTTGCCAACAGACGTCTTCCAGAGCCTTTTGACAGTGCTCCCCAACTGTCGCACCTTCTCCCTTTGAACTGCACTACCTAAGCCCCCGAGAAGAGGGAAGCCGGCAAAAGCCATAAAGCAAAACTGCGTGATAGTCGTCTAACTAGCCGCTAAAAAGAAGGGAAAAAGAAAAAAAAAAGAAGAGCCCGTAACTTCTCAGGAAGAGTTATTTTCTGGGCACACCGGGCTCCCCGCGGCCGGGGCCCCGGCGCGACCG